TATCAGATTTTATTCTCCGAGTTTTGGATTTTCATTATCGTTTCCAGCTTCTCTTTTTTTTTGATTATATTAATTAATAAACAGTTCAAAGATGAATGAAAATATTAATTCAGCAAGAATGAATAAAGAATTAAAGAAAAATAATAAATTTGTTTTTATTTTGATTGTAACAATTTTAAAATAATCCTTCTATAATTTTAGATGTTCACAAATCCATGGTTTTTTAGTTCCACCTTATTTTAGGTAACAATTATTGCACATTCCTTTGGCATAATGTTCTCTTTAAGGATGACCACAATTATTGTCTCTTTCATTGATTATTTAAATTCTTATTATTGGACATTCAGAAATTTAAGCGAAAAACTTATGTAAATATTAAGGATAATACGATTTATTCCTACAAACAACTGATTTATAGTGTTCATAAAGATTTGGTAAATAATAATATTATTATTATTGAATAAATTTTTCCCCGTTTTATATTACAAATACTAAAAGAATAAAAATGGAAAATAATTATTTAGTTAAACTTATTTATCAAATATATATAAAAAGCTAGTTTTTTTGTATTCTAAATATATATTATATGATTTTACTTAAATTAATCCGAAGAGCTGATGTGTTAGTTAAACCTTTCTAATTTAATGTTCACAACAGAAAGAGGACATAAACTTTAATAGGTTAGTAATTTTGAAATTTAGGTGGATTTTTTTCAATTTCATTGTTTGTGACATATATATTGTATGGGATAAGTTTGTATAATCGTTAAGAATAGAATTAGAATACAATTTATGCAGGTTCTTAATCAGATTTTTAAGAGGATTACAGTCTAAATTAATAAATCGTTAAATTTGCAATAGAAATATCTCCAATACAAAAGGAACCATTTTAGAATTATTCTTACATTTAATAGTATAGAAATACAAAAGATATTTAGGTATTTAAATTTGGATGTATTTTATATTGATTAAAGGAGAGTAAGTGAAGTGGTTGGATATAAAAGAAATTAGACAAAACTAACAATGAAAAAATGTGATAAGGCTTATTTGAAGGAATTCAATTTTTAAAATGCAACTTTAACAGAAAGTTAAAAAGAGTAACTTTTATGCTTTGAAGGACAATTTACAATATCTGGATAATTTTATGATCCAATATTTTAATATGTAAAAATATAAGTGAATATTTGTGATTTAAAATCAAATCCTGAATGTAAATAGATTGAAGAAATAGAAGAATTTATTACTTAAGGGTATTAATAATGTACTTTAAAATTATAGAATCAATATAGATTTATTTATTAAAGGAGATAGAATAAAGAAAGCACTTAATATGAGTTCACCTGCTGAAACATATCCAAAAAATATGTTTTGGAGATTAACAACTGGAATAGCAAACAATGAAGATATATATATGGCACCTATATCATTAGATATAAGTAAAATTAATTTATAAATTAAGAAAAAAATAGTTTATTTGAAAAATTAACAAGTTAAGGACTTAATGAGAATATTTTCAAATCTGCTGCTGTATTTAAATCAGAAAGAAGATAAGAATCTATTACATTATAACATGGAGTTTTGATGAATTCCTTTTATTTAAGAGCTGGCTCTGAAAGCTTTTATTATTTTTCTAATTAATAGGATTGGTTAGTGACATTATTATCATCAATAGCATAGACTACATCATTAATAGTTACATTCTTAAGGATATTATAATTCTTTTATGGATTTTATAATAAACATAAAACATTTGAAACTTTAATGAACAATGTATTTAAATTTGATATCTCTAAAAATACAAGATCTGATATTGATGAAATAATGTAAACTAGTGGATTCAATCATGATCCATTATAAAATGTATTAATTAAAAAATAGAAATTAGAAAAAGTATTAATTATATTTAATTAGATTATTAATTTTACTATTTAATATCCAATCTGGAGATATATTTTATATAAATTATCAAAAATATTTTTATGTCTGAAAAAGTATCATATCTGTTAAATAAAACAAGAAGAAACAATCACCATTTCATAATTAGCAAAAAATAAAATATAAACTGATTTAGATTTAACTAATATTCTTAAAAAATTATATGAAATTGATTGTCTTAAACTGTTATTATTTGATGATGATTAATTATTAATATTCAATAGTTTTAGTTCACCTGTTTTTGAAGATAATATGGTTTAATAATAACATTTTTAAGAACTTGTAAAATTGTAAGGTATTCGTCGTTCTTTAAGAACATAAACCTTTAGTAAAGTAGACTTTAATTTTGTTAATACATAAAGTATTAATAATAAATATATTAGAAATACATATTACTTAAAAACTAAAAAAACTTTCTAGATTTTTTATTGCATAAATGTAACCAAAAAATGCAGAAGAATTAACAATGATTTTCAGAAGAATTTAAGAGGACTAAAATGTAAATTTTAAAAAGAATAAGAAATTGTTGAAATTTGCTTAATCTAATTATTCATTATATAAATTAGTTTAACAATATAGTTAAGCTAGCTAAAATGTTACTATTGAAAGAAAAACTAACGAGGCACTTTCTTTAGAATGTGAAGAAAGGCACAACATTTAGAATATTAAAATTCATATGGGAACTTTGAATAAGTGAAATATAGAATAATATAAAATTAATTAATTCTTATTTATAAATTAATTGACAATTTATTCAAATAAATCATTTTAATATAAATACTTAGTTTTAAAGTACAACATAATTTTTAATTCATTATTCATTTTCTGTCTTATCTTTCATGTTCAGGATCAAATTCCCAAGGTTTCATACCATTTTTATAATTTTTATTTGGTTATGTTTTACCAATTTCACCTAAACACATATATCCTTAATCATATAAAGAACAATATGGTATATTAAATGTCCTTATAAATTCCCAAATTTAAGAATAATTCCATTCTAAAATTGGATTAATACGTAAAAGACTAGGATAATTATTATCTGTAATCGATATTAAATTAAGATTTTTTCCATGAGGATCACTTCTTCTAGTCCCCATTATTACAGCTTGTAATTACACCTATTATTTTAAACTCTATTTAACACATTCTTTGCATTCTAATATATTTAAGTTTAAAGCTTTCTATTATAATTCCATAAACTCTATAATTTCAGGAAATGGTTCCTTTTCTTTAAAGTATATACATTCAATTTAAGTAGAAATTTATAATTTCTCTAAAGCCATTTTCGCTAAATACAAAACAACTGTTGCATCCTTTCCTCCATTAAAACAAATTTTTATTTATGGAAATCTAAAGATCTCAAATATTTTAACTAAAAAATCAATTGCTTCTTAAAATAAAACACTTGATGATATTGAGTCTTAATTATCCATTAATAAATTTTATTATATGACTGATTTAAATAAAATGAGAATATTTAAATATGAAAGAAAACATAATAAAAGAGATTATTATAAAATAATGAGACTTTTATATGATTGGTTTTCATTTAGTAATATATTTAAATATTCATAAAAGCAATATAATTTAGTACTTCTTTAATTTAATAAATATTTAATAATTAATTTAATGAATTAATGTGTATTTTACTAGTTCACTAAATTTTTATTTTTGTTATAAATGAGAATAAAAGATTGATATAAAACTTCAATAAATAAGTCAACTTTGTAGATATGATATAAGTATTGAAACATATCATTAGATAAGGATTATGATTTGATAATTATAATAATTATAATAAGTTCTTTAATAATACTTATTATTATGAATTAATAATTCAAATGGCTCAAATAGAGACCAACAAAAGGATTGGCTTTTCCAACTTCAAGAGAGGGTGCATCACTTACTTATATACCTAAATATTAAAGTGTAGTTTTGTTTGGAGGTATTTGTAATGGAAGATTAAACGAAATAATGATATTTGATATTCAAAAAGATGAATGGAAAGTCTAATAAACTTAAGGTAGACAACCTTCACCAAGATGTTATCATACAGGTTTTTATGATGGTAAAAACTATTATTTTATATTAGAAACTTAGAATGTTATATACTATTATGGTGGATAAGCAGATAAAGGTAGATCTTTAACTGATTTTTATTGCTTAAGTTTTCAAAGTTTTATATGGAAAAGATTATTTTTATTGGAAAGCCCTCCAAATAGACATAATCATACAATGTGTGATTTACCTGGAATGGAAAAAATCATTTTCGGAGGAGCATGTTTACCTGAAGATCTAATGTATAATGATGTTTGGATATTTAATTATTCTGCTATCTAATTTACAAATTAATAAGAAATTCCAGGTGCAGTAGCAACTAAAAAAAATTGTAAAGGAGAACATCCTTCACCAAGGTAAGGACATGGAGCTGTAGTCTATCAAAACAATCTATTTGTTTTTGGTGGAAAATGTTAAGATGAAACTACATAACTATATAAATTATCTTTAGAAAATTATTAATGGAAAAGAATATTGCATTTAGGAAAAGCACCAGGTACAAGAGCTTTCTTTTCTACTAGTTTGATTAAAGACAATGTTATAATTTTTGGTGGAATTGATAATGTTGCTAATAAGGTTTTAAATGAAACTTTTTTATTAAACTTAACTGATTATCATTGGAGTTCTCCTTTTACTGCTGGACCTATTCCTTCTCCTAGATATTCACATTGTAGTTGTCAAATAGAAGATATAATTTTAATTATGGGTGGTATTGAATAAACTTATTGTTCTATGGATATGTATTTTTTATCTTAAGGTGCTATTAATTCTAATGCTGAATGGGAATAATTAAAAGAACCTACTGATTTAGAAAAGTAAACTAATGATGCAGCTAATTAAATTATCATGGAAGGCAAAATGTATCTAANATTTTACTAGTTCACTAAATTTTTATTTTTGTTATAAATGAGAATAAAAGATTGATATAAAACTTCAATAAATAAGTCAACTTTGTAGATATGATATAAGTATTGAAACATATCATTAGATAAGGATTATGATTTGATAATTATAATAATTATAATAAGTTCTTTAATAATACTTATTATTATGAATTAATAATTCAAATGGCTCAAATAGAGACCAACAAAAGGATTGGCTTTTCCAACTTCAAGAGAGGGTGCATCACTTACTTATATACCTAAATATTAAAGTGTAGTTTTGTTTGGAGGTATTTGTAATGGAAGATTAAACGAAATAATGATATTTGATATTCAAAAAGATGAATGGAAAGTCTAATAAACTTAAGGTAGACAACCTTCACCAAGATGTTATCATACAGGTTTTTATGATGGTAAAAACTATTATTTTATATTAGAAACTTAGAATGTTATATACTATTATGGTGGATAAGCAGATAAAGGTAGATCTTTAACTGATTTTTATTGCTTAAGTTTTCAAAGTTTTATATGGAAAAGATTATTTTTATTGGAAAGCCCTCCAAATAGACATAATCATACAATGTGTGATTTACCTGGAATGGAAAAAATCATTTTCGGAGGAGCATGTTTACCTGAAGATCTAATGTATAATGATGTTTGGATATTTAATTATTCTGCTATCTAATTTACAAATTAATAAGAAATTCCAGGTGCAGTAGCAACTAAAAAAAATTGTAAAGGAGAACATCCTTCACCAAGGTAAGGACATGGAGCTGTAGTCTATCAAAACAATCTATTTGTTTTTGGTGGAAAATGTTAAGATGAAACTACATAACTATATAAATTATCTTTAGAAAATTATTAATGGAAAAGAATATTGCATTTAGGAAAAGCACCAGGTACAAGAGCTTTCTTTTCTACTAGTTTGATTAAAGACAATGTTATAATTTTTGGTGGAATTGATAATGTTGCTAATAAGGTTTTAAATGAAACTTTTTTATTAAACTTAACTGATTATCATTGGAGTTCTCCTTTTACTGCTGGACCTATTCCTTCTCCTAGATATTCACATTGTAGTTGTCAAATAGAAGATATAATTTTAATTATGGGTGGTATTGAATAAACTTATTGTTCTATGGATATGTATTTTTTATCTTAAGGTGCTATTAATTCTAATGCTGAATGGGAATAATTAAAAGAACCTACTGATTTAGAAAAGTAAACTAATGATGCAGCTAATTAAATTATCATGGAAGGCAAAATGTATCTAAATTAAATAGAAGAAGCTATGATGAAAGAAAGATAAAAAATATCAGAACTTTAAAAAGAAGTTTAAAATCTATCAGAAGAAGCAGATAATTTAGATTTATATATTAAAAAGTAAACTACCATTGTTATGGCTGAACATCAAAAAGCTTAATAAAATAATAAAAATAAAGAAATAGCTATTGAAACTATATTTTTAATGATTAAACAAGAATAAACACTAACTAAATAATTAAATTATAAATGCCAATAATTAGAGGAATGTATTTAAAATTCATATCCACTTTTACATACTCTTGATTAATTTTATTAATCTATTAGATAAAGTATAATAAAATTCTATATTTTTAGTTTAAGGTTCAGATCCTGCTGATCTTAAAGTCAAAAAAATGGCTGATTAATTTGCTAATGATATTTAAAAAGCAAAAGAAGCTTAACTTGAATCACTTAGCAATATTTATTCTAATTATTAAAAATTTACAGCATTATCAAATAGAAATGAAGTTGAATTAAATTAATGGCGTGATAATGTTAAAGATATGAACAATGATTTTGAATAATTAATATTTGAAACTGAACATGATTGAATTTTTATATTTTTAATCAATTTCATCAACTCATTTTTAATTGAAATAACCTGATAATAGTTTTCTAAATGTTTCACTAAAATCAGCCCATTCATTTCTTAATAAAATACCATCTCCATCTTCATCCATATATTCAAAGATTTCTCTTACATGTACCATCGAAACTGCAAAAGTATTCAATTATGCAGCACATTCTTTTGGTGTTAATTAGCCATCACCATTATCATCTAATAATTGATAGATCCAATTAAATAATCCATCCCATCTTTCAAATCTATCTAGGATCCAAAATCCAATTTTTCTAACAAATAAGTCTTTATCATTTTTAGTATGTTTTTATTATTCCTCAATATGTTTTACAAATGTTTTGAAACCATTATGTAACATTTATAATCCTCTATCTAATTATAAATGAATTAAATCTTTATGATTTCTTTCTTCTCTATTAATAGCTGTAAATTGAGCAGTAATATTCTATGGATTAGATAATGCTCCATGAAAATTTTCCCATTCTTATAAGTCTTAAATCATTTTAGGTCTTAAAACTTTATTGCAAAAATTAATCCATTCAGTTCTCATAATTTTGGTATCTATATTTCTATCAATTAACATTCTTAAAGAATCTAATTTCTATCTATCACCTACATCATCAATCATATCAGCAAATGATTCATATTCACTCTTACTTATGTAGTTATTACCTTCATAAACCTATTAAGCTACCTGTAACATCAAATAATTAAAAGAGCATTGTTTCAGTGACTCTCCATTTTACATCATTTCTGATTAAATAATTGATCAAATAAACATTTTCAGCATGTTCTGCAAATTTATTATGTTTATTTAATAATATATTAAGGAATACCTCATAAAAATGAATTGCATGTTCTTTAGTTATTCCTTTACCTTAAGATAGAGTAGGTTATCTAAGATTAAATCAATATTATACAGATCATCATCTAAATCAAATTTTTTTTGTCTTGGTTTCATATATGTATATAAGAGAAGCAATACAATAATAATAACAAATGGCTTAAGTAGTTTATTTGTAGCTTTCATTGTAAATATAAAAAAATAATTAAATATTTATCAACCAAACAAAATTATTGTTTTATATTATCTACATATATTTTTATGTTTTTTTCCTAAATCTACAGTTGTAATTATTTTTTAAATTATTTTCATCATAATAATCCATTTTCTTTTTCTTATTTATTTATTATCGATTGTTTATGTTTATTTATTAATTCTTTTTTAATTCTATATTAAATGATCTCATTATTTTGATCAAATGATATTATCTCTACTATTTATTCATTAAACACTATTTACTCTTATTTTTGTTAACAATAGAATCCTATTAATTCCTTTATCTAATTTAAATATTACATCTATAAATTATTTATTATTATATAGATATATATATATATTAAATTTGATTGAATATCAATTGATATACTTATCTAATAAACTTGGATCCAAACCTTCCATTTACATCTTTTATTTTAATTATTATGAAGGTACTCCATAAGCGAGTAATTTTTTATATTTTTCCATCCTTTCTAAATAATAATTATAATGCATTTATACCATCTTCAACTGCTTCTTCTTATTATTCTTCTTATTAAACTTGCTCTTATTCTTATACTTATTATTCTATTTAAGGAGGTGGAGGAGCAGCTGCATAAGATGTTTCTTGGTTTTAAGTTACTTATTAATAATTTTATGGAGGAGGAGGTGGAGGTGGAGGTGGAGGAATTGCATTATTTTGATCATCTGATATTACAAAATTTATTTACTTTAAGATTGTATAGATTATGGTTGTGCCACTTGTTATTAATATTAAAGAGGAGGCACTACTAAACCATTAAATAAATCAGGAGGAACTGATTCCAGTTTCTTTTCTAATAATAATACTTTAGACTCAATCTCATCAAGAACCACTTCCATTTCGAATAATTTATTTTCATTGAAATGTCCAAATCTTTTATTATTGTTATTATTCCTATTACTTGTTTAAAAAATCAATATTCTAAAGCATGTATTCATTCAATACAGCTATCGTATTTTTATATGGTATAGGCTCAAGTTAAGTCAAGTCTATAAAATTTTCCATTTTACTAAAATATTTAATATTAATATAATCATTCAGAAATAATAATTTCTATATTATTTTTTAGGATCAACATTTATATAAAATTACTTTATCATCTTACTTAATTAAAGTATTCATAATTAATAAAGTTTCATAAATCCTATTCTTGACCTTATACTATCAGGAATTTTAGTTTTTTGTTAAATTAATTTATTATATTTTATACCAAGACAACTGATCTAAATAATCTACTAAATTCTTCAGTTTAAACTAATAAATTGTAAAAAATAGTTAACATATTTTTTTAATAAGTTTCATATAATAAATTAATTCTAGTATTANTTATTTTTTAAATTATTTTCATCATAATAATCCATTTTCTTTTTCTTATTTATTTATTATCGATTGTTTATGTTTATTTATTAATTCTTTTTTAATTCTATATTAAATGATCTCATTATTTTGATCAAATGATATTATCTCTACTATTTATTCATTAAACACTATTTACTCTTATTTTTGTTAACAATAGAATCCTATTAATTCCTTTATCTAATTTAAATATTACATCTATAAATTATTTATTATTATATAGATATATATATATATTAAATTTGATTGAATATCAATTGATATACTTATCTAATAAACTTGGATCCAAACCTTCCATTTACATCTTTTATTTTAATTATTATGAAGGTACTCCATAAGCGAGTAATTTTTTATATTTTTCCATCCTTTCTAAATAATAATTATAATGCATTTATACCATCTTCAACTGCTTCTTCTTATTATTCTTCTTATTAAACTTGCTCTTATTCTTATACTTATTATTCTATTTAAGGAGGTGGAGGAGCAGCTGCATAAGATGTTTCTTGGTTTTAAGTTACTTATTAATAATTTTATGGAGGAGGAGGTGGAGGTGGAGGTGGAGGAATTGCATTATTTTGATCATCTGATATTACAAAATTTATTTACTTTAAGATTGTATAGATTATGGTTGTGCCACTTGTTATTAATATTAAAGAGGAGGCACTACTAAACCATTAAATAAATCAGGAGGAACTGATTCCAGTTTCTTTTCTAATAATAATACTTTAGACTCAATCTCATCAAGAACCACTTCCATTTCGAATAATTTATTTTCATTGAAATGTCCAAATCTTTTATTATTGTTATTATTCCTATTACTTGTTTAAAAAATCAATATTCTAAAGCATGTATTCATTCAATACAGCTATCGTATTTTTATATGGTATAGGCTCAAGTTAAGTCAAGTCTATAAAATTTTCCATTTTACTAAAATATTTAATATTAATATAATCATTCAGAAATAATAATTTCTATATTATTTTTTAGGATCAACATTTATATAAAATTACTTTATCATCTTACTTAATTAAAGTATTCATAATTAATAAAGTTTCATAAATCCTATTCTTGACCTTATACTATCAGGAATTTTAGTTTTTTGTTAAATTAATTTATTATATTTTATACCAAGACAACTGATCTAAATAATCTACTAAATTCTTCAGTTTAAACTAATAAATTGTAAAAAATAGTTAACATATTTTTTTAATAAGTTTCATATAATAAATTAATTCTAGTATTATTTATATCATTAAGTTTTTTATTTTTTTAATCTCTATGACTGAAATATTTCATAATTTGATTCTCAGCTTTTTTTTAAATATTAAATAAATTGAGGTCAAAAATCTTCATAATTTGTTTGATTATTTTTAATCTAGTTTATTTAGCTGCTTATTTAGAATGGAAAATTTATGAATCTCTAATATATCATTTAAGAAATAATAAGTATTCAATCATAATTATTCAAAAAATCATGGTAATTACAAAAAATCAAATAATAAATAAAAATACTGATGAAAATTGGATATATTTAAACATAAAATTCAATAAAATTAATACAACAGTAATAATCATATGATTTTGATTTAAATAAATCATTAGAAACTGCTAAATTTTAAATTATCAAGTAGATTTTACAATTATTTTGACAAAAAATTGATATAATATTATGAGAATAATTTAATTTTTTGATTAATTTTATAAATAATAAAAAAGGAATAAACATGGAAGAGTTAAAGAAAAAAAAAGATTAGTTAATAATTTGAAAAGGATTCCTTTATATATGATAAATTTTAGCTCATAAGTAATTAAATTAATTATTATTATTTAAAAATCAATATTATGAATAACTTGATTAATCCTTAAACAATAAGAAAAATGGATGATGATCAGAATATAAAAATAATTGATAATAAGATTAAATAAATATTAAAGTAAATAATAAACTAATTTCATTCTATCCATTTAGTTCTTTTACCATCTTCAAAATAACATTATCTTTCATTAGGCATATCTTTACCTTTATAGAGTGCAATTCCATGTTGTTTTCCATCTTTCCATTATCCTTTATAATATTTACCATCAGGCCAATAGAATTCTCCATAACCATCTTTTTTATCATTTTTATAATTGCCAATATATTTTCTACCATCATTCCATCTAAATTCTCCTTATCCATTCATTTTACTATCTTTCCATTCTCCTTCATATTCTTTATCTTTCCATTTAAATATACCAATTCCTTCCATTTTATTATCTTTAAATTCTCCTTCATAAATATCTCCATTAGCCCAAGTGAATATTCCTCTTCCTTCTTTAGATCCATTAAAATATTAACCATCATATTATTAACCATCAGGCCAAACTTCTAAACCATAACCATGTTTTTTATCATAAACAAATTCTCCTTCAAAATAAGCTCCATTATTTTATGTAATTCTACCTTTACCATTCTTTAATCCATTATTAAAATAACCTTCATAATATTCATGTTCTGGATGTATTAATCTACCATAACCATCAATTTTATCTTCTTTCCATGATCCTTCATAATAAACTAAATTAGAAAATACACAACGTCCTTTTCCTTATCTCATTGATTTATGCCATTCACCATCATACTGACAATTATCTTTAAGTAAAAAAGCACCTAAATATTATCCTCTTATATTCAATTAGTAATTAAACTCAGGTAAAGTTGATAAATATTCTTCTATTTATTTTGGAATCTTTATAGTCTCTATTGGTATTGCATTTTCAGGTTATTCTTCATATTATTCATCTTTAGACAATATAATAATAGATTATTTGAATTCAGAAGATGAATTATCGTTGTATATAGATACTGTTTATGGTATAATTTGATCAGGTACTAAGATTTCTTTTTTTTCTTCATCTGTTGTTTTGTTGCAGGTTTAACAACATTATTAACCCATAAAAATAATATATTTAGAATATCAATTATTAAACTATTCATCAATTCTCACACAAGTGTCTTCTAATAATCTTAATAGTTAATCTGCCATAGATTCTCTTTATTATTTTTCACTTCTTAATTCAGTCTAAATTCGTTAATGTATATCTTCAATCATATTAAATATTTTCTTTTAAGTTTCATCCCTAATTTATTACTCAACATGTAACATATCTTAAAAAGCATTAACCTAATTATCTATTTGTTCTATTAAATTATTTTATGAATCTTCTCTATTTTGTGTTTCTCCTTCTAATAAATATTTCAATTCACTCATTTATAAATTAATACTTTGCAATAATTTATTAGTTTTATCTTTGCTTGATCCATTATTCTGTTATAGATTTGAATTTAAATTGTTAAACCTTTCTTCTATTTGTTTTAACAATTATAATTCTAATTTTCTTTTGTTCTATTTCATTATTAAATTCAAATATATACACTTTTTTCATCTTCAACTTATTATGTTAATTATTCTTCAAAATTACGAAGATCCTTTTGTTTTAGTTCATCAAATATTTCTCTATCATTCTTTTCTTAATAAACTTAATCTTGTAATTTCAATAGATGGTCTTTTAAAGTTTTAAACTTTTATTCCTCTTTAGGTCTTTCTTAATTTAAAAGAGATTCAATTCTTTAGATGTGTTATTCTACTAATTCTTTTTTATCATTCTTTTCTTTATCCAATCCTTATTTTAATGATGACCACTTTTCAGTTAAAACTTTTAATCTGTCAGTTTATGGAGATTCTAAAGTGGATAACAAATATCAAAGTACCTCTTCTAACCTTTTCTATTGATTGAAATTATGGATTATTTGAATATTTCATTTCAAATTAAATACGTTAATATTATTTATCATTGACCATGGTACTATTTTAACAAAATTATGTAAATTTTCATATTATTAATCATCAATATGTAATTTAGGCTTGAGTGATCTCACGATAGCACTGCATCCAACATCTGTTTAAAATGGTAAATGATGTACACCTTTTGGTAGATTACTCTAATTTGTTTTACTCAAACATATCACATCACATATTGATGTTAATTGACTAATAAATTAATGTTATTCTTCACTAAAACATTCACCTCTTAGTGTAATACATCCTCTACTCTTTGAATTTTACTCTATCTTTTAATCAAATAATTAATTCAAAATCTGCATTTGTGATTATTTTATATTTGGAGACTCTTATTAAGGAGGTTAACTCATAATCTTAGTTATAAATTTTGGAGCCATAAATAACAACCCAACTAGGAATATAATTACTAAAATGAATGTAATTGCCATTTAATAAATATTATAAATATTTATCCATAATTAATAAATCATAGCTAAAATATAATCAGCAATAACAAAAGGTCAATAGAATTTATATGCTATTAAATTACATCAATCAAAGTTTGAATTATTATAAAATTGAATTCATATAAAGAGTTATTAAAATATTCTGCATTTATTTTGTTGATTTTTATTTTATTAAATCTCAAAAGATGAATCAGATACTTATCATTTTTATTTCTTTGTTGATGCGTATACAATGTTTCTTAATTAGATATCAATGTAGAGATAATCAAATTCTTTGTTTTAATTTTGAGTTTGGCTTAATATTTTTGGAATTTACTCTTCGATATGAGGAGTATAATCATTTTGATTCTAAACTTTATTTTGAAATGCCATTATTTTATTTTTATTTATATTGTGACATTCTCAAATTAAAATCTAAATAAAATTCAATCAAGATTTTTAAATAGTACACATAATTCCAGTATCTAATAATATAAATCAGTATACTACGTTTAATGTTAATCTTTTTACTTTTATTGCTGCATTTTAAAAAAAATATTATATGTTGATCTTTTTATCAAAGATTTTGTTGTAGGAATTCAAAAAATAGTAATTAATCATTTTGAATATTATTATCATGATAATTATATATTATTAATTAATAATAAATTTATCGCGCTAATTATTCGATATTGTGTTCAGAGGCGGAAAAGAATTAATATTATTTATTATTATCATACATGAAAAATAAAAACATTATTGCTCCTCCTTAACTTAATCAAGACCTTTTAAAAAAAGTTAAACTTTGTGAAGATAGTCAATGTAATACACTTTTAAATGATAATTCCAATTCTTTTGAATCTTTTCCTTCCTTATCTAAAATTGCTTCAAATTATCTTAATAAACCTTCACTTAGAGAAAGATTTCAATAAATTAATGAAACTGGAGTTGTATAAACCAGCAAATATTATTCTTTAATTTCAATATTATCAGCTATTGATTCACAATTATTATTCTTAAAATAAAGAGTATTTTTATTGTATTTTATTTTAGAGAGAATCCTTATTTTGGCCTAACATTGTTAAAAGTTGCTATGATTCTACACAATTGTAAGTTTCAACTAGATAATTTCAAGAAATTATGACTGTTTGGGATTAAAGTTATATTATAAAATGGGAAAAATTTGAAAAGTAAAATGGAAATTATGAACTACTTGTCAAACTTCCTGATAAATAATTTTTAAACTCTCTTGAATTAAATTCAAGAAAAGAATAATTTAAAGAAAAACTAGAATCTTATTTACAACTTAATGGAGATTATATAGAACCATTTAAATTACCCTAAAAACCTTAACTATATGATCCTAATTTAAACAAAGAGAAATGTATTTAGAATAAAACTGAATTTGTTTAATTCTCTCAATCTATTAATATTTCTAGAATCTTTAAAGATAAAGATAATTAAAATAATAACAAGCCTTTATCTAATGTATCTTTAAAACTCATAGATAAACTAAGAGAAAAGAAATTGTAAGAACAACTAAAAGCAGATGAATCCTAAGTTGAAAAATTATTATTCTCAAAAAAACAGCAGGTTTTAGTAGCTTCTATCTTACATTAATACTATTATTAAAGAGATGTATCCAATATGTTTTTTAATAATGTACTCAAATATATTCATGAACATATCACAAATGTTCTAATAAGTGATGAGTAAATTAAAAATATTATAAGTATTTATTCAATAATATTTAGTAAATTTAATTTAAAAGATCGAAAATTGGCTCTAATTAATTGATAATCCTGGAGGATAAATTCTTAGATTAAATAAAGAAATAGATCTGCCAAATATTGTAAACTAATTACAATGAAACAAATGTTTATGAATCTCTAATTTAAGTATTTTTTACATATTATTATTATCAATCTATCTATTCAGGTTAATATGAAAAATCAATTAATAAAAAAGATTTAGTCTGATTATATATTATAATTCTAACACTCTTTATTAAACTTAATCAACATAGTAATTTTACCAAAAATTTAATAGAGGAATTAATAATATTCAAAAAAATAAAAATATCTGAATATTTGAATATTTGAACAAATTTTAATATAGAGAAACATAAGTATTAAAGGGGAGAAAATTAATTTTTATTTATTCTTTTTTGACATTCGAGAAAAAAAAAAACTTTAAAAAGTAAGGTAAATGCAATTATATACGCATTTTTGTGCTATATTAGTTAATTAATTTTTAAATAAATTATTGTAGTTTTTATTAAATTAAAATGAATTTCAGGAATAATGTTTAATATTAAAAAAAACAATCTAAATATATTAATGATATTAATGTAAGAATAATCACATTAAATTTTTAATTAGATATATTGTTTATTTAAGATGACAAGCGCACATCTAAAGTCAAAATTAACCAAAAATGTATTTAACTCTTTTAAAAATTCTATTAATCGAGCATATTTTTGAGAATTGATTAAATCAAGAATATCAAATTATTAGTTAAGAAAAATATTAATTTATGGACCTATCCTTGCAAAAAAATTCTTATTATGTTAAAAAGAAAACTATTTCATAATCTGATCTTTGCATTTAATCTAAATTCATATAATTCTGATGAATTTACATACAAATTTAACTTTTATAAATAATCTATAAATAGAAATAATTTTAATTAACAAATAATCGAGTCAATTATAATATTCTTCCCAAGGTCCAATCTAAATGTCTTAATAGGAATTGCAAACTTTATTTTAAAAAGTTGACAGTCTTCTAGGATATTATACAGAAATGGCTTTTTTTTCTCTGCATGACCCTATCGAAGGTTTTGATAATGGCTAAGTTTACTTAATAATGAGACTTTTGAAAATAGAAGATCGCTCATAGTTTTCTTTCTATTAAAATATCTTTGTTTTATTTTAGACAATGAATTTAATTAAAGATGATTGCTTATTGGTTGTAATTATGGTTTTACTATTTTTTAATACTTTTTTTGTTTATTTTTATATATCAGTTTTGAGAGTTTGTTAATTATCAAGGAGTTTACATAACTATTAAAGGTTATCATCAATCTGAATAATATTTATATGTTGGAATTGTTTTTATTCTCGTTGAAGTTGAAATTTAATGGATTTTTTAGAATTCAACATAATTTTATTACTCTATGAATTTTTATTTATTTTATTTTTTCAATTATTCAAATTTATATATAATTAGAAACAAATTATGGAACATTTAGAATGATAAAAAATGTGGCTGTTTTATTAAACTTAAATGTTTTGTTGTTGAGTTATATTAAATAAATAAAATAGTCATAAATGAAAGATAGACCATAATTGAGAAAGAATAGTCTAAAAAATAATGATTAGATGATCTAAATAACAATTTTCCATATATATTAGCTTACTATTCAAATAAAATTATATTTAATAAATATTAAAATAAGGAATTAAGAATATTTTAGTTAAATTTTTCAGTTTAGTTTGAAGGATTTATCCTATGTTTTATCATAAGATTCTGAATAATGTTGCATTATAACTAATGAATCTAGTCTTAATTTAATGATTTAATAAGAAATAAGTTATTAATTCTAAGGTTTATTTTTGTTCTATATTTCAGTATAAAATTGATTGAATGTTGAGAGAGAGAATTAAAAATTGAAAGTAGAGATTAATTAGAAAGAACAGTAGATTGTCATAGAGTTTGAAGAATAATAGAATGAATAGATGAATAAATAATTACTTTAAAAGTATAGTAAAATTTATGTTTGGAAGAAGAAGCCTTAAGAAGATGAATTTCGTATAATCACTTTCAAGTAAAGTAGAATAAAAGTTAATAAATCTAATAAAAGAATTTAATGGTTGGATATTTTAATTGACTACTACATAGATAATGATATATATAATTTGTTGCCATTTAATTGGACTGGATATTAAAATTGAGCATTATGATATTACAGAATTTTTGTGTGTATGAATAGAGAAGTATGTGTAGGTTTAGGGTTTCACAAGTGGGTATTAAAATTTATAAAAATTAGATAAATAGAGTAGATATGTTTTAATATCATATTTATATAACAAAAATCTAGGATTTTAGTGAAAATATACCTCAAATTGATGGTAATTAGGATAATTAGAATGGCAGTATAAGTTAATAAGAAAATTGAATACCGAAATTAAAAAAGATGATAAGAATAAAGTTGAAGAGTTTTCTATAGTATTTGAATGAATAAAGATCATAGTAAACTAGTCAAGCTAATTTATTATCAATCTTAGATTCACAGTTTTTAAGTCTGATTATTTAAATTTAAAATGTACCATTTACATCAGTATAGATATTTAAATTAGATATATCTTAGGATTTTATCTATTTAAGTTTATTTATTTGATTAGACTATCATATTCAAATGTATCATAAATATTTGAGAAAAGAGATTTATTTTATTATTAAAATGAAACGATAAAATTCTGCTAATGTTACAGGAAGTCCTAGTCGATATTTCTCAACAACTTAAAATTAATTTGCAGATATACTAAAATAGATTACTTAGAATTGCAATAATAAACCAATAAAGAAAGCAAGCAGTCCAAATCAAAATGGTCAATTATAGAAGAGGATAAAAACTTAAACAAGTAGTTCAAAAATGATTAATTAAAACAGTTAAAAAAAGAAAGTTAGTTCAAGTGTGCCTAAAAATAAACTTGAATATTATACAATTTAAGAATAGATAGGATCTGGGAAATTTGGTAAAGTATATAAATGTATTTTAAATTCAACAAAGAAGTTGTATGCAATTAAGATGATTGATAAATAACAATTAAAAAAGAATTAAATGAATAATTAATTGTAAAGAGAAGTGACAATTTAATAAATGTTAAAACATCCAAATATAATTCAGTTAATTGAATTTTTTGAGACAACAACAAATTATTGTTTAGTAATGGAATATGCAAATGGAGGAAATTTATTTTAATCATTAATGAGATAAAATAATAAACGATATTCTGAACCTGCAGCATCAAATATGATAAAATAAGTAGCTTATGCAATTTAATAAATGCAAAAATAATCTATAATTCATAGAGATTTAAAGCCAGAAAATATATTATGGTGTGATAATGTACTTAAAATAAGTGATTTTGGATGGTCTATACAAGATAAAAAAGAAAGAGAAACACTTTGCGGAACAATAGATTATTTACCTCCAGAAATGGTTTATGGATAATCTTATGATAATTCAATAGATTTATGGTCATTAGGAGTGTTAACTTATGAATTAACAACAGGAAAGACTCCATTTTAAATATAAGAAGGATTTGCCTTATAATTTCCAGATCATTTATCAGGAGATGTAAAAGATTTGATGAAAGGATTATTAACAGATAAAAAGAATAGGAAATAAATTGATTGGGTATTAAACCATGTTTGGTTATGTTGATACTATTTAATATTTATCACAAATTTGATTTTTATTTTCTTTGATCAGTAAATACTTTATTCCATCCTAATTTTTTCCTAAGATTAAGAACCCATTCATTATAATCAATGTCTGATTTATCTTAGATAACTAAATATATTTATAATAATATACTGCTAACAAACTTTTCAGATTGTGATATTTCAAATACCATGTCTTTATTGAATTCAACAGTAGTTTATCCATCAGCACATATAAATCCATTAGCTCTACATTAATTAGCTAATTTTATTGTAATATTAAGGCAAGTTGGTAATACTATAGGTCTGAATGATAAAGATAAAGGACAAATTGGAGCTATTGATATAGATGAAACTTCATTCTATATGATTGGACCTCCAGCAGATAAAAAATATGCAGTTGAACCGGTTGGAGTAGATACAATTATTCCATCCCCTGATGCAACTGTTAATAGTACATTATTTATATATATCTCTATATATAAACAATGAGGGTTTGCACCTCTTGTTATTACAAATTCATTTAATACATGATATTCAAATTTCTATTCTTCTCTCTCTTTCAAACAACCTTTCAATCTTAATTTTCTTTCTACTATAAATTATCCTGCTGTTCTAAAATGCTCTATTTATTTTGATAGCACCTAATATTTATCTTTCAATTCAAATACACACATAAAACCTAATGTCCCTTTCTAAAATGCCAATATCGGAGGTGGTTCATGACTTTAAAATTATCTTAATGCATAAAGTACTGTACCATCTCCTCCTACTACTATTATTAAAGATATTGAAGGTATTTATTCTTAATTTAAAACATAAAGTCGATTTGAATGAGTTATCTCTGCTATCTCATCAAATTATTTTTATTCTAAATATATATTACAATTCAATTCCATTAAATTTTCAGCAATCTCCTTTACAATATATTTGCATTCATCATCAAACAATTTATAATATATTAATGAATTCATTTCACCTTTTAAACTATATGATACCGATTCCTAAGTTTATCTAAATACTGAAGTGGTTTTCTATTTATTAACAATTAATCATACTCTCTTATCAAGTCTCAGACATTCATAAGATGGTATTTTACATCTTTCATTTTAAAAATCAAATTTATCATGTTATTATGGGCTACAACTTTTTATTGACCTAAGAGGGATTTCTTTTTAGAAAATTAATGCTGTTATTATCTCAAATTTTAGTACATGAATTATCATTATGACTTTGCAATCTCGATGCGATTGGATTTTTTTCGCAAATTTCTCCTTCATCCTCATAATTCTCTGATATCACTGTATTCATTTTATTAATATTGTATCTGAATCTAAATTATTTATTTAATATTAAATGACTGCGAAATGGCAATAAAACAATGTAGATATAATAATTCCAAAATAGGTACCAATTAGATTAAACTTTAATGATGATGATGATCCTTTTGAAGAAGAAATAGGTATTTTAAGTATTTCAAAATAATAGATAGATTAAGATAGTAAAAGGAAATGCAACAAAAATTAAAACAACAACAAGCAGCTATTCATGATCATAATAAAAAGGTATATTGACAATCCATTTAGGCTGAATAATTAAGATAATAAATTGTTAAAGATATACTACCAAAACATAAAGGTTTATAACTTGCTTATGATTATGATGGAACCTTTATGTTAGCAAAAGATCTTACACAAGTAAAAAATAATTAAAGAGCACCTGAAATTCAGTACTTATATTATTTTATGTTAAAGCAAAATAACTTAAGTTGATACAGTATTTTAACCATAGAAACCTATTTAATAAGCAGTTATTGAAAATGAGAAAGTAAGGAAAGAGTAACTTCGTTAATCAAAAGCCAAAACCAACCCCCCTTAAATATTTGAAGCTTCATATTCTAAACCATTTGATGGGTTCACTCCTAATCAAGGAGTTAAATTAATTTATCAAGATCAAAATTAAGAAGTTATAAAATAATAAGATATGTAAAATTGGGGTGATGGATAAAGAATGACTAAGAAATAATTTGAAGCCCTTAAGAATGAAGGTTTTAAACCAACTACTTATTCAATGAAATAATAAATGCTTCAAAAAATTAATTCTGACATTGTGGAAGTATAGGAACCTAAAAATTCACCCATTATTTCGGAATCTTTTAATCATATTAATGAGTTGAAGATTTCCCAATCTTATAAAAATTTAAAGAAACCTATTATTCAATAAACAATCGAATAAATACCCTAAACAGCATAAAATAGGAAATAAGGAAGTAAAATTAATGTTGTTGATAAATATTTACTAAATCAATTACTTTCTTGACTTTTACTAACTTAATTATTATCATTTTTAACTATTTCATAATTCTTTAACTATGAAAATATAATTTTAACCCTACAAATTCACTCTTTTTATTGTTGCTCTTTTATTAATCAATCCACATTTTATAAATTATTTTATCATTTCTACTATAAATTTTATACATTTTTCATTTAAGATATAAAATTTTCATGTATCCTTTCACTATAAATGTTTTCTAATGCTACATATTAATAAAATAGTCCAATAAATATAATTTATAGTTTTTTATATAGCTATGATTATTTCATCAAATGATCCAAAAATGAATTAACAAATTAAAAACAATAAATAATATTTAAATTGGTAATATATCAAATAAATGAGACTAAAATAATCTGGTTCAATATCAGAATCTTAATCCTAATCATTTAATGGAGAATTAAGTCAAAATTAAATTATATTTAGTTGATTATTATTATCAATATAAAATTAAAAAAATTTTTGATTCATTTTTCAATTTCATTTATCTTTAAATTATCTTCATAAATTAAAATAAAACTGGTCCTAATAATAGGATAAATCCTTCTGCTGTTAACCTTTAATAGACTTCTCGTCTGATTGGGCTTGATTAAAATCAATGAAGCTTTTAAGTACTTATTCTTCATTTTTATCTATTTTTCTTCCAAAATCAAGCTAATTAATTGCATTCCTAATTAATTTCTTCTCATAGTTTATTATATATAATTTTTTCTCTTAAAAAATTCCCTTTTTCGGTTTTTGTTAATCAAAAATAAATCCAAATATTTAGATTTGCTTTTTATATTAACAACTAGGGACAATAAATAAAATTTCTTTTAGAAAATGGATCATCCTTTTGCATTGCTTTTATAATTTATTTATCAAATTTTATTTTACTTTAATTTCTTCCTTCTTTTTACGGCAATGTAAAATTTATTTTTAATTTCATTAATAACTTTAGTCTAAATTTTTAATCCAGAAAAAACCTAAATATCAAAAATTTATTAACAAATAGTTATTATTATGTAAAATATACCATATTTCCTAAATGAATTTCGTTGTTTTTCTTCATGAAGGATATTTTATTTTTTTTCTTTTTTTATTCCTAATCATATATCTTGAATTAAATAGAATTTGTAGTTTTTGTTCAATGCTCATAGAATTATAACTAATTCTTAATCATAACAATAAATCTTAAAAATTTGCATTTATAAAATTTCTTATTAATACTTATAATAAATTATTTTTTTTGTGTTTTGTAAATATGCTTTGTTAAATTCAAATTAATTTATAAATCAATTATGTTTCTGTCAAATCATTAATTAAATAAATCAACTTAAAAATGGCTGAATAATTAACAGAGGAATAAATAGCTGAATTCAAAGAAGCCTTCGCTCTCTTTGACAAGGATGGTGATGGTACCATTACAACTAAAGAATTGGGAACAGTTATGAGATCACTCGGATAAAACCCAACTGAAGCTGAACTTTAAGATATGATCAATGAAGTTGATGCTGATGGTAATGGAACAATTGATTTCCCCGAATTTTTATCTTTGATGGCCAGAAAAATGAAGGAATAAGATTCTGAAGAAGAACTCATTGAAGCTTTTAAAGTTTTCGACAGAGATGGAAATGGGCTTATATCTGCTGCTGAGTTAAGACATGTCATGACAAATTTGGGAGAAAAATTAACTGATGACGAAGTTGATGAAATGATTAGAGAAGCCGATATTGATGGTGATGGACATATTAACTACGAAGAATTTGTCAGAATGATGGTTTCTAAATGATTATTATATCAATATTAATAGATATTTATCTAAATGAAAATTAAGATTTTTATTTATACTAAATTATATTATTATTTTATTGAACAAATAAACTTTATAAAAACGATTTCAAATTAAATCTTTATGATTAATAAATGGCTTGGAAGTTAATAAATTACTTTCTTGTTAGAACTTATTCGCAGCAGATTATTAAATAAGATCTACAAATAAATACTATTAGAAAACTAAGTTCCGAATATCTATAAAAAAATAATCAAAAGTATCAATTACTAAAACAAGGCAATTAAAATGGGCTCTTGTTAAAATAAAGATTTTCTAAATGAATCGCAAAAATTGCTTATCTTTTTAATAGGTTAGTCTTTGTATT